AACCCCGGCCATTCCATGATTCTGTGATTCTGTGAAATAGTAGTGATGATCCCAAAAGCTGAGTGAATGGATTTGGTTTGACATGTCTTAGTAACCATGTCCACAACACCTCACTTCAACCTGCGTACATCTGAAGTCACTAACTGGCATATATTGCCAAACTTTGTCTGATAATCCTTTTACAGCAAACTCCAGTTAGAAACAATGAAAGGAACATTAAAGAAAATTACTGTAGACCACATGACTGAGTGAAATAAGCATGGCACCAGTGATTTTTCATTTTCCTATTTCCCACTCATCCCTTCCTGAGGTACAGAGAAGCATTTGCAGTTTCAGCTAAGCCAAGCCATGGGTCCTGGTGTCATCTGCTGAAAGTGACCTGGTTGACACGTATCCAAGTGAGCCCTAGATTGCCTGCTGCAAACAGGAACATGTTGCCTCCAAGCTGGGTGCTAAAATCGCAGCTCAGGTAAGGAGCAGCCATCCTCTTATGGCTGCAGTTATTAATTGTAACAGGAACTGGCAGGCTGGAAATGTAAAGATCTTTCTGCATTAAAACATCTTCAGGCAACAGTAGAACTTTGCAGAGCTCTATAAAACATATCAGCTCTAATGAAATCACTCGCTTTGATCCCAGTCTTCATTTTGGTGTCCTGCAAAATTAAGCAAAACGATGCAAATGCCGTAAAAGAGAATCAAATTGCTATATTACAAATAAAGAGGCTTTTTTCTTTCTTTGTTATGGAGCATGTTTTTAATAAAGCCGGTACGGACAAAATTAAAAATACAGCTGCATACAAAAAAAAAGAAGATGAGCGTGTTCATTTGCAGCTTCAAGGTGATTCTCAGTTCTTAAATGTCGCATCAGATATTCTTCAGTCCTTTTCTCTTCCCCCCCCCACCCCCCCAAACCAAAAAGCTGTCTCTGCTAATTGTGCATTTATGATTTTCATGAGAATTTGTGCTTGTGCAAATCAGGTATTCTGCTGTATAGCCACCATATGTGCTGCTACAAACACATGCCAGCAGGTTGGGCATGAATGTGAGGGCTGAAGTCACAAATCACTGCACGCCGAGACCTGGGGGTGTCAGACCTTGTCTTGCTTCATTTCATTTCACGCAGGGGTGCTGGTATGTTGTGTTCTTGGTAGGGAAGCCCATCCTCTCATACTGTCTGTGAATTTATTGCTCATAATTTATGAGTTCTGATTTTCACAAGTTGTGTTTTGGGTTTTTTTTGCCTGAGTGAGCTGTAATTCAGAGCCTGTAATTCAGTTTCTGTGAGAAGAGGAAGGAATTTTAGACACGGTTGCAAGACTGCAGCAGACCTGGAGATAACATGTGAGCTAAATAAGCCCAGCACAGGGCTTGAATTCCACTGCACACAATAAGCACCATCACAGCCTGAGAATAACCACACAGCCAGGGAAGAAGTGTATTACTATTAGTATAATGCTGCTCCTTCCAACAGTAATTTGTTACCAATTGTTTGGGGAACTGGAGATATATCCATCTTAATGTTCTGCCCAGCTCTGTTGGAAGATGATAACAGCATGCCAAGCTGTTCAACACACAGTAAGGGCTGCAAAGTTCAGCTGCAAATCTGAACCACCAAAGGCTGATGGCCTAACTCAGTGCAGATGGGCTCAGGCCAACCAGGCTGACAGGTTCAGAGTCCATCAGCAGTTGCATCTGCAGAGACTTCATTAGCAGTTGCTTATAAGGGAGGAAGGCAGAACAGGCAGTGTTGTTGGCCAGGTGGCTGATGTAGATCCAAGCTGTGTAGGTGATATGCTTGTGTAAGTCAGCCCTAAATCTGGTCCCTCCTGGTGGCTGCTTCTTCTTCTGTGGCTTGTGAGTAAATGGATGGGCAGGGTGGGATTGAAAGGATGCTTGAGGCAAGCCAAAGTGACCAGTAAGTGAGGGCATCAGGTGCTCTTAAAGGTAAATAAACTGTGGTGTGTGGCTTGATGCAATGTAGTATTTCCTAGGTTGGAAGTAATAGAAAAGCCAAGTAGTTGTGGGGATACAGCAGGCTGAGGGCTGCCTAATGGGGAGGAGAAGCTTTCCTTCCTGCTTTGTTTCTTGCTGGGTACACCTTGGGAAAGCATCCTGTTTTGGGATTATTATGTCTTGAGGAAGAGGTGACTGGGGAAACACAACCTAGAAGAGCACAGCAAAAATGAGCTGAGAACAGAAGCTTTGAGGAGAAAAAAGCTGTAGGTCTAAGGCTGCTTGGTCTCAAGGAGAGGAAAAACGGTGAGAACAGATAATTGAGCCTGAGTCTATCAGCACTGCTGTAGAAAGGAAGGGAATGGGCAGCTTTCTACATCTGTGGAGGATGGGATGGGCAGAAGTGATATTGAGATATGTAACTTGAACATGAGGGTTGAGAAGCACTGGGAAAGATGTGCCCTGGGAAGCTGTGGAGTTGCTGTTGCTGGGAGTCAGAAGTCAGACAAACATCTGGCAGAAATGGGCCTTCTGACCCTGCCCCAGGCTGTCTGCCTCTGCTCGAGGCTCCTCTCAACCCTCACTGCTGTGGTGACATTAACAGCGAGTTCTGCATAAACAGAAGTCAATATATTGTCTTTCCTCTGCAAGGAAGGAGGGGCAGGTTGTGCCCTGGAGGAAGAGATGTGGTATAAAACAGCTGTGACAAGGGGCAAGATGTGACTGAGACCCGAAATCAATGGAACTACCATTTCCTTCCTTCTCTTTAAGTATTAATAATAGATTTATTTTTTTCTGGTCTACCAAGGTAGCCAGCATGATTCTACGCTATGAAGCCCTTAATGCACTGTGCTCAAAGATGTATTCTGCAGGCATTTACTTTCCTTTCTCAGGAGAGATTTTCTTATGAAGTGCCATTGTAGGAAGTGGGGCCAGGTGCTCCAGTACAATGCTATGCAGCTTTTCGTAAGCAAATTCCTCAGCTTCTGAAATGGTGAATTTCTGACATGAGGTTCCTCTGCTTCCCTTCCAGCAGCAGGCAGACCTGTAGGATGACTGGCTGTGATGATAATAAAGAAAAGCACACTGTGTGCACTAGGGAAATAATGAGAGGAGGATTTATCAGTGGTTTGGTGTGGGGTTTGTTGGCCCTGCATGCTCATCTGCTGCTCTGTTGTTATACAGCAGCCAGATGTATCTGCAGGCAGTCAGCACCAGGAGAGCATCAGCCAAGTGCAATAAGTTGGAAAATGCATACCAGCCAAAAGCCTTTGCCATAAGGTAAGAGGGTTGGGGGATTGTGGTCCCCCTGGGCAGGATACTGAGCTGGTAGTGGTTGGCAGTGGAGTTGTTCTGCATGGGTTCTGTGTGGTTGGGGTGGTGTAACTGCTGCTGGTCTGGCTGTGGGGCTCCCATGGGCTGTGGCTGGCTGCTCAAAGTCAGAGCTCAATAAAGCCTGGAACACTGTGTCTGTTTAGAAGCATTTCTCATTTGTGGAGAGGCTTAGCAGGGGGCCTGGGCAGTGGAGTATCAGCGTGCTGTGTCGGCTCAAGCCTGATCAAAGCTTGCTGGTTAGAAAGGCCTCTTCCTCAAAGTAAGTGATGGGAAGAAAGCAGGTTTCCCTATCTGGCTGTTATGGAGGTTATTCAGAGCTGCCCTATGCACCCTTGATGGTGAGGAGCCTGGACTGGCAGTGCTGCTGTACCAGCAAAAGGCAGTCCTGCATGTGGATGCTCTCTAGAGGCACTCAGAACAAGGGAAGGCGTGTTAATGCCCATATCTGTGCTAAGTGAGAATATGTTGGGTGGTATTTGCACGTTATCAGGCTTGTGTATTGGACAGCACTGTAGAGAATTCGGATGCTGTGTACAAATTGTGCTCATTAGCTTGAATCAGAGATGCTGAGGGTAAACAATTCTGCCCTCTAGTGCCGCTTAGCAATACTGTGAGATCCCAACTAGCAGCGATCCTGGGAAGATGCTGACCCAGAGCATCCCTTCATGCATGCAGCCGCGTGTGCTGCGCTGGCGCTGGAAGCTGGGGTTGGGCGGGCAGCTCAGCATACGATGGTGCGCCCTCTACATGTCTCTGTTTCCACTTGAGCAGCCCAGTTGAGCCTGATATTTGCTTTTCCATCATGTTTATTATGCCTCTGAGGAGCCAAATGACGAATAGCCGTTTGAGGGGCTTTGCTCTTTTGGCTCCATAAATAATGAATTCATTGGGGTGAGAAAACACACACCCAGACACAAACACATGCAAAGCCCTGCAGAGGAAAGGGAATAAAAGCACGGAAGCTGGAGATACAAACGCAAAGTCCTGTGCCAGTAAAATGGGAGCTGCTTTTTGGAGATAGAAGCTGTCAGAGAGCTAGGAGTTAATTGCCTCGAGGGGAGACAAGGAGCACTTAGAGATGCGAGTGAGTGCTAGCTGAGGTTTGAAGTGATAGCTTGCTACCTGCCTGGCTGTTGGGGAGGGCAATTAGTTTGAGCAGGATGTTTGTTTTATTGGCTGCAAATCCTGTCTTTAAGCATCAGCTGAAATAACTCAGCTGTGAGTCAGCTTGTGTGGTAGCTGCCTGCCCAACCTCACCAAGGTACAGGGATATGTTTGAGTCTGTTGGCCATCTTCAGCTCATTTAGGTGGCACCGTGTGGTTTCAAAGAGACTGTTTTCCTTCTGGAAGTTTTCTTTTCTTTAAAAAGAAAAAGAAGACAACACTCACACTGTGCTGACAGCACTTGTAGAAATAATGTGCTTTTGTGAATGGCAGGAATCCACAGTGAGGAGCACTAAAAGGCAGATCTGCAGGGCTTGGGTAGCACCAGTGCTCACCAACAAGTCGCTGGTCTGACTACCAAGCTGTGCCTTGCACTGGGACACAGCGCATCCAGCTCTTCCCCGGGTGTTAAAATGGGCTTATTCTGCTTTACTGGCAATTAAAATGAAAGCATACTGCTTTGCAATTAGTCCTTCAAAGATGAATGCTTGCGGACAGCCAGTGGGAGCACACAGCAGTGGTTTCATTTATGAAGGGCTGAGATTTCAGTTCTCTGATCGGTCTTGGCTTGATTTGCCCTGATAAGAGCTGGGGCATTTTCATAACGTTTGAACATCAGCTTGCCTCAAATGTTTCCCAAATCCATCAAATCTTGGGTGCTGTCTTTTTATGGAGCTGGGAACTTGATTGTCCAGCTCTGCCCAAATCATTTTGGAGGAGCTTTACCTCTCAGCAGATAGTGCTGATTGTGTTGGGGCCAGAAAGAGAATCACAGAATCATTAAGGTTGAAAGAGACCACTAAGATCATCTAGTCCAATCATCAACCCATCATCACTATGTTCACTACTTCACTGTAGCGTAAATACCCCACATGTGGGATTGGCTGTTCTTATCAGTCAGCATAGCAGTATTGTCCTTACAATTGCTTGGTTTATTTTTTGTTTGCTTGTTTTTTTAATTGATTTCTGAAGCAAATAAACCCTGCACAATCATGTTGTTTGATCTTCTTCCTCCCTATACCTTTTGGAATGGTTAACTTGTCTTAACCAAACTTGACCCAGGTGGTTGGGGTGGGCAGGGACCTGATGGTGCCCCCACAGGGGGAGAGGCTGCTGCAGAGGTTTGTGCCAAAGGTGACAAATGGAAGTGGGGGAGGAAAAATAAAAATAATAAAAAAAAAAGAATTAGTAATTCTCAAGCCTGGGAAAAGTTCAGCTAGAGCTTTCTCCTGATAACTGTCAGATTGCTTCTCATCCCCTTTTATCTATTCTGTGTAATGATAAAAGCTCAAATGTTAATGCAAATACGAGGTAATTTTGCAGAGCATCGTTCCTATAAGCGCTACATTCATTATAGGATGAAATAATATAATTAGAGGGATAATAGCAGAGAGAGAGAGAGAGAGAGAGGAAAATGGAGAGGTGTGAGCAAAAGAGAGCAAATATATTTTCAGAAAGTTTTGGAAAGAAATGGAGAGCTAATGAGGTGGAGCTCATCTAGATGGCAGCAGCAAGCACTGCTTTTCCTACCAGGACAAGTATCTGGAGACATGTGTCTGGAGAATAAAAGAGAATTAATAAATTGCCAGACTAATGGATGAGGGTAGAAAGAGCTACAAAGAAACACCAGTATTAGTCTGAAGCAATTAGGGGTGCAATAGATTTATATATACTCCAGTTTGTTCAGAATGAGTGCTCAGTGCTGGGCAGCTCCACTGCCTTTTTTTGTTTTCTGGGGGCAAATCCTGACCGAGGAAGCTAACAGCTCCATCAGCTGTATAATTAGTATGAGTAAGTCCCTGTATTTGCATGGGGTGTTGGTTGGAGGCTGCTGCTGCCCAGCAGACATGTCCACGAAGGTGGTCACGGGTGGGCTGCTGCTGGTGATGGGAAAGAATGAGGAGAGCATTAGGTTTAGGCTGAAATAAATGGGTTGTCCAGCTGTAGCCGCTGTAGAGAGGAAGTTGAATGTTAATTAGATGCCACCAGTAATTACGGTGATTATGTATTTTTTTGAGTGGCTGTTGGGAATAGTTCAATTCACATCCAAAGGCGAGCGTGAATGACATTTCTAATCACTTTAAGGAGAAGGTACTTTTTAAATGAAGAAAATTGCTGTAAAACAATTTAAGCTGCGGTAGATGCAAAGAACTGTAACTGCTTTGATGTCACTGTCAGGAAAAGTGGATGTTGGATGAAGCAAGAGAAAATGCAGTAAAAGCATCCTGCTTCCCTGCCTCCTGACTTCAGAAACTCAGGCACTGGGCAGAAGGTCTTTTTCAACTCTGAATATGGACTGTAATGATTAAAAAAGGAAGGAACACTAGTAAAGGAAAGGAACGAGGGTTTGCCAGGTTTAACAATGTTCATAAACAGATGATGGCAAAAACGAGACCTACGCTGTTCTTCCACATGTCAGTGTATTTTCTTGACTGTGAGCTAAGCAGTCCTCTTGAAAATGCTCTGAAATTTTCCTCTCTGTCAGGTCTGTTTTCTTGTTATTCCAGAAAACCAAATTCTACAGGCTTGTCCATACACTGGGCTGTTCTAAAACTGTTGTGCTGTACATATTTCTATAGGCATAAAATAAGTGCATTAATGAGAACCTACTCAGGAATATCTGTTGTGCTCTGAACTCTATTTTTCTTTCAGCTGTAGATAAAACCTCTCACTTATACCCACTAGTTCAGAACTCATTAACATGCCACCCACTGAGTCTGATAACCTAACACCTTTGATCTCAGTCTCAGCTCAAAGTCACCCTTTGCAGTATTTGTCAAGGTTTTGAATAAACTTGCATACATTCCCACCAAGCATGTACTGGACCCTCAGAATTTTGTGGGATGCTGTACTGGAAATGACTGGCACAGACTGATTAGATGAGAGCTTACGTGCACTGGGTGAGACACCGTTGTCTTCAGTGCAAACCCACTGAGCCCTTCTAGGGGTCCCTCATGTCTAAAAATAATGACAAACTCTTGAATTTTATATGTATGAACATCTAAGGACAGTGAGCTGATTTGCACAGAAACCTTCTGATGCTTGGACAAGGACAGTCTCCTACAACCCACAGGAATGTCCCACCTACAGGACACTTGCAGCTGCCTAATGTGAAACTTAAAAACAAACAAACAAACAAACAAAAAAAAAAACTGCACCATTCCCCTTCATTCACAGGAGAAATTCAGTACTTCACCACCCAGCCCTCCTGAAGCTGATACTTGGAAGGCCTCTGCTGGTGATGATTCTGGTAAGATATTGTTTCTTTGCATCTGCTGTATAACTTTGTCTTGAACATGACTGACTTAATTGAGCATTAGGACCATACAAGATAGATGTCCTTATGACCTTCAGTGGTAAGTGTGTCTTAATTAAGCAGATGTCCAGCATAATGGCACAGCCACTTGGTCCTGCATTCCCCTGTATGCTTGGGCGTTGCACCCAAATGACAAACCTACTGCCTTCTCCAGCTTCTTTCTCCATGTGGAGATCCTTCAGCGTCCCCTGCCCTTTCCCATGGGACCACCTACTCCTTTTGGTGTGACTAGAAGTGCCACCATCACAGGAGCTAAGAGATGACACCATCATGAGATGGGCGCATGGCCCTACTCCCAAGCATGCAGGCGTGTTCATTGCATGGTGGGGGCCATCAGAAGGTGCTGTATTTTAGTTCTGTGATGGATCCCTACTTTTGCAGATCAGAGGGAAATGGAGCAGTGAGGGACTGACTGTTGGAGCAGTGGGAGCGAGACCTTGCACAAACTTTATTGCATGCTCAGAGTAGAGTTCAAATTTGAAAGCTGCACTTGCAAAATTTGCTTGGCTTTGCTTTACCTTGTGTTTATGTGACCTGTGCTCTCCTCTTCCAGATTGCTCCTGAAGGACCTACTGCAGATTGACAGGAAGCTGCCAAAACACATTGTGCCACATCAGGAGGAGCAGAGGACAGCCTGAGACTCTCATTCCTTCTTACCTCTGGGGGTGAGGAGGTGACAAAACTAAAGGGACACACCACAAGTCTGGGGAAATACAGGAAGAATACAGGAAGCCTCTGGCTTCAGTGTTTGAGATGCTGACTCCCCCTGGATCTGGTGGCTTTGGTTGCCTTATACTCTCCTCCTCTCGTCTTGTACTTGCATGCTGTTAGTGAAAGACCTAATATGGGGCTCTCCGTGCTGGTTTGTGTGAGAGCACTGAAGCTGTGCAATGGCACAAACTTTGCATCCTCTTATCTCAAGCAGTAAAGTGAAGGTGTTGGTACTGCAGCTTGGTGGCTCTGTCAAAAGGGAGAGCAGTGAGACAGAGCCATTTCCTATGTGTCCCCTGCAGACACAGGGATACTAGGAGAGTTCTGTGCTGCAGAACTGTGTCCACCAGAGCCAAGCCAGGGGCTCCTCCAGCAGCAAGGTGGAGGAAAGAGCAATAACTGCAGAGCTTGTTCAGGAGAATGTGGAAACTCCAAGCAGAGGGGTTTAATGTTAATTTATATTCCCTGCAGTTCTCCCTGAGGTGAGAGCTGGGGCCCTGGGCTCCATGGGGAGGTGGCTGGGCACAGTCTGGTGCTGGCCCTATTCCTGTGTGTGCAGCTGCTCTGGGAAATGTGTCCTTTCCTTTCAGTTCTCACCAGCTCTCAGCAGTTTCTGTGCGTGCCCGCCAGAGAGCAACCCTGGCACAGGGCTGGTGTCTCCAGAGACAGAGATAGGAATAGTTGGGTTGGGGGCGAGGCCAAACCCAGCTTCCTTCACCCTCTCCAGCCACCTTGCCCAAATTGGAGCTGGAGGGAGGGTGTGACCCTGCTGTGTGCCCCATGTCCTGGGCAAGAGGAGCATCCTACTGGGCACGAGGTCGTGACATCAAGAGAGAGGAGTCTGGCTGTCCAAAAGCTGTTGAAGGGAAGGACCATGCTGGGACAGCAGGGAGTGTCTCTCCCATGCATAAAGAGCAAGTTCAGACGGTCAAAACCTCCAAAATTCAGATGGGTAACAGCTCAGTGCTTTATGGCAGTCTCACAAGTAACTGTGCAGATGAACTTTGTTTTTTATATTTTTGTTATTTTTTGACAGTTGTCTCAATGAATGTCTTTGGTACTTGAATATGGAGTTTGGTGTTGTGGTGTGTTCTGGTATATGAGGTGCAATCTAGTACTTGCTGTTCAGAGAAGGAAGCAAGCTGTACTTGTCATGCAGGCTTTATAAGCAACAGTGCTCAGTGCTGGCCTGAGGTCCTGGGTGGGCTGAAAGGTTTAGAGATGGGGGCTCAGCCACGCTGCATGAATTATCTCACTGCAGCTCCCCCTCAGTGGCGGGGAGATGGGCAGGGTTTGTTCTCCCCATGGATGTGCAGAGCAGTGGTAGTCACCTCGCTCTCTGCTCCATGCTGGATCTGTGTTCCCATGGGCAGCAGCAGGTGGGATGGCTGTGACCCTGGTGAACTGCAGCCCCAGGGCTCATGCAAAAGGCTTTGAGGGAAGAAACAACACTGCTATTTTTATCCTTGCACCAGCCCGGGGATTTGGATTGGCAGGGTTAGTTATGAAGCCAATATTATGAGTTTAACTATGAGTGAAATAACACAACTTCTGTGGGAAGCAGAGTAAAAGAGGCAATTATGCAGTAGCTTAATAACAGCACTCTGGCTGGGTAGCTGAAAATACACAGTTGATAGTAATTAGATTTTTTTTTTCTTCCTGTTAAATAGCTACAAAAATTACAATATATATTCATCTGATTCACTCTTACGCGCTGTTTTCATCATCAGGTCCATGCCCATTTGGCCTTCAGACTATTTTTGTTTTGTAATTTTCTACTGTCTGGCATTTTAGAGGCACAGAACTTAATGTTCTTAATGTTGGACATGCAAAGCAAGATGACAGAGGCGGGGGGGAGCAGGCAGGAACCTCATCAGAAATGCAGGGCATGTCTGGATGGACAGCAAGGACTTTCCAAGTGGGCTCCCCCCAACTCACTGTCCTCTTTCCAAGCACTCACCTCTTCTTTTTCATGTATAGACAGCAATAAGTTTTCCCTTATGCCACACAACCTCGCATTACCTTAGCAACTGTGTGCTTTCCAGCTTGCAGGGTAGAACTTGATGAGCCAGCAAGTGTGTGGCACTTGGGCTGCTTCTGATCATAGCTTGAAAGCCCTGCGCAGCATGAAGGAAAGAGATCTCAGGTTTGCTCTTGTTGCTGAAGGCTTACAATGGGATATTTGCTTGGAGGCTGAAAGTATTCTTCCTCTTGCTCTCTGTTTTATTATGTAAAAGAGCCAAGCGTGATTAACAATACCATGGTCTTTTTGTTGTGATGTTACACAGGACTGTGAGGTTGTGTTTTGTGGCTCTGATGCCCAGTGGTGTCTCTGACACCTGCAATAAATATTCTCTACAGCAGCATTCCTGACCTCCCAGCAGAGCATCTCTCATTGCCTTTCTTCCGCTGTGGCAGGAGCAGCACAGTTCAGCTTCACACCTGTGTTTCAGCTTTAAAGCACACTGGAGATCTCCGGAGCCATTAGCAGGGTAGAGGCCACCTCCAGGTATGATGCTGCCCCATTTGCTTCTTGTTTTCAACAGAAATACTGTGCTCTTGGCAAGTGCAGATGCTCCAGATGGTTCTGGGAAAAGTGCAAATGAGAGATTTGATTCCAGCCCTTCTTCTCTTTAATGAATCCCATCCAGTTCTCTAGTACAATGGGTTTTGTTGGTTGGGTCTGTTTTTCTTTTTTTTGTTCATTTTTTAAAGGGCCTCTTAAAATGCATCCCACTTCTTTCTGCTACCCCTGACTTTGCATCACGAGCTTATGATTTTCTGCTCATCCCTCCCTCACTAGGAAGCATGCTGTGGGGTTTTGCCATCTCGTGCCTCTGCTCTCTCATAGTCTGCAGAAGTTGGATGTGATCCATCCATGGGATGTCTAGCTGCCTGGTGCTGGGGTCAGTTGTCAGTTTGGGGACCTCACGGTAGACCAGGTGACTCATGGGGTGTGCCATGTCCTCTTGCAAAGCAGTGGTAGAAGAGCATGGAGGATGGAAGGAGGGCCTTGTGGACGCTGCCTGGACCAGAATTTAGTTTGTGAGGCTGGGGGAGCGGAGCTGCCATCTCCCTCTTTATCTCATCTGGAGTGGTGCATGTGCTCCTATTGTAGGCTGGCTGTGCTGCTGTTTGCACGGTGCCCCAACCACCACCCTGCATTAGCTTACCCAGTGTATTCCCGTCTTACTAAATTAGATCAATTTTGCAAATTGCTGCTGCACCAGTAATTGAATTGAAGGGTGGTTTTTTTGCTGGTTGCTGTTCTCTCTTTTTTTTTTTTTTTTTTGCACTGGAGTAAATCAGGAAGAAGTCAACAGAATCAAGCCCTGAGCGCTTTCAGCAACATGCTCATTTAAATTGGATGCAAGAGGGTGTCTGTGTTTACATTTGGCCTGCCAAGAATCTCTGTTTCAGAAACTGGCTTACATAATATGTCAAAATTGGTTTACTCATTAGCATTGCAAACGGTGTGAAACAAGCCCCAGATTGATAAACTCTCAGCAATATTTGCATCCCGAGCCGAGCAGCACAGGGGGAGGGGAGGTTCATTAGGAAGCGTTCCATTTCCACCAGGAAAGCAAACGGTTTCCAGTTATAACTCAGACTTCGTTAATTTTCTGTCTTCCCAAATTTAAATAAAGATTGAGAGAGAAATGTGAAAATCTCCATTGGCAAGCAGACAGCCTGTGTGTGTGTGCTGCTGGGTGGGCAGGCTCTGCACAGTAGTGTTCCAGGTGGCTGCAGCCCCTCTGCCAGGCTCCAGCCTCCTTGCACAGTCCCTTACAGCATGGCTGGTGTGGAGGTTCTGGCATTGCTCATCAGCTCCTCTAAATGGTGCACGGGCACTAATGGAGCTGCCTGCTCCTGCACAACACAGCCTCAGAGCTGGGGAGTGTGGAGCTGTGTGCTGCAGGCCTTCCAGCTTGTGGTGGGATGGGAAAACCATCTATCTCCACCATGCTCCTTAGGGTTTAGGAGACATCTGTAAAACTGGAAGCACATGTGAGCATGGACAGGGCTGCTGAGGTGGGATGAGCAATAGAAAGAGTAAAGCAGCTCAGCATTAAGGGGTGCTGAGTGTAACTTGCATCACTGCATCCTTTCTGGCTGCTCCTGAGTCTCTTGAGCCCTTGGGTGATGTGGCAAAGCTGGCAGGAATCTGCTGGATGTGTGCAGCTTTCAGTGGTATCTAAAGGATTTGGGGGCTTAACTTCCATGAAGCTCTTAAGTCTGCTGTGAAACTCCCAGCTTAATCAGAAGCAGAAAGCTCTGATGTAGCACAAAGTGTCCGAGCAGTGCTGGTATTGGTGGAGTCAGTTTTTATGCTATAAGTGGTAATGCACCATCCCATATTTCAGAACAAGTTTTGCAAAGGGATCTGCTACAGCCAAAGGAAGCACCTGCTGCAGGTCCTGCTGCATCCTGATGGGATAGGTTTGGCATCATCAGTCAACACCAACACATCCGTAATCAGCAGTGTTCATGGCATCTGTGGCATGTCACTGTTGCAGGAAGAAAAATAAGTTTGGAGCTCTCTGTGGTCCCAGAGTCTGCAGTGCAGTGTTGATTGAAAGCACTATGTTACAAGATGGGTCTTGTATCATCTGCTGCAGCTCGTTGTGCTCCTCCTGAACCTGTGTCCTGCACCTTGCATCTCAGGTGGGCACGTCGTTTGGAGAATGGAGGGTTGGCAGCTGGCAGAGGAACCTCTGCACAACCATTGTAACGATGCTTTTCAACGCTTCCAAAAACTTCAGTGAGGTTTTTAAGCAGTAGCAGCCGAGTAGCTGTTGATAATGCAGATGTGGGGTGGGAAGGGGTGATAAAATGATCTCACTGAAAAATGAGGCTGAGAGGTGCTGGCACGTTGCTTACTGTCACACCTCATCATGAGAGGCTGTTCCGCGTGAGATGCAGCCACGGACCTGAACACAGTGCAAAAAATCTGAGAGCAATGGGAGCCAACTGCTGCCCGGTTCTGCAGAGCAAAGGCACCGAGTTGCTTGTTTCGTTTCCAGGGCTGGCACTTGGATAGGCAGCAGCAGGCAGATGCTTTCACCTACGCTCAAACGCACCAAGCAGAGAGCAGCGCTTCCATATCTCTCCTTGGAGAAGTCAGCACTGTGACATCTCATTGCAGTGCTGGCAGAGGGCTGAATCTGCTGGGAAGGGCCACATCACCAAGAGTGACTTGTGGCAGTGCAACTCCCACCCGTGGGAAAGAGATGCAGAGGTTTGGTGCTTGCTGGGCTGAGTGTGAGCACCTTCTGTGCCCAGAGCCAGGAGCACTGGCCCCAAATGGACAAACTGAGCTGAATTTTGATAATTTGGACTTCACCTTGATGTTTTTCCTATGTTTTTAGTTCTCCTCACACAATCATAATTCCAAATCGCTAAGAGAAAGTAGCTGTGCTCACATCTCGCCCTGCAGAGAACTATTGTCACCCAGCAGGTGTTTCTGTACACCAGCATGTAACTTCTGTCTGCAAATAAAAGAGAAAGTTGGCATTGTGTTTCATTTATTAAGTCATGTCTATTTGCATATATATTTGTTGCAGAGCATGGAAAAAAGGGCAGAACAGTGCTAAGCCCAGTAAAATAATAAAATAAAACAGCATAGAGTGTGAATCATGGTCTCAGTTACACAAAACACCACTGAGGTGATGGGAGCTCTTGTGAAAAGGCAGAGCTTTGTGTCTGAAGACAGAGGGGGGCCCACAGCCCTCCTTGGCAGCAGTGTGGCTCTGTGCTGGGGGCAGCAGTTCTACATAGCCTGGGGTGCAGTGCTGCTGCTGAGAGCTGCTGGCTGGCAGATGTGGGAAGCAATGAGCTGTGCTGCTGCTGTGGTCTCCTAGCAAACAGGCATGGGGAAGATTTCTTTGGGATAAATGGACAGCGTGAAACTTTTCCCTAATAGGTGTGAGGGGGTTTTCCATAGGTTATCTCTGATATGCAAAAAGTGAAAAAAGCTCATGTTAAAGGCAAACCGTCTGGAGGTCCACTCCTGTGAGAATGCAGGAGATGTTCAGTGCACACGACTGTAAATAAGAGCTGAAAGATCTTCTCCTCTGTTCCTGATGGGCTCTGTGCTGGGCAGCTCTCTGAGGTGGGTAGGTCTACCCTGTACAACAAGGCGCCCCAAAAGCTCCAAGCCAGCCCAGCAACAAAGAGGCACTGCTCTGATGGCACTCTGCAGGTGTCAGATGCGGAGGCTCTTTCAGCTCAGCACAACTTTAGCCCAGAACCGTGGAGTGTTTCTTTCCTACAGAGCGTGCATTCAGAACAAAGCGATGCTGTGTCGGTGGCTGGGAGGACAGGGCTGCACCTTGCAGCACATCGTTGTGCTACCTGCACCACAGCAATGCAATCAGCCCCCCACCACGGGGAAAGCGTTCCATCTCTTTACTTAGGCTGTGTGTAGTCGCTGCCTGATAATATGACCATTTTGCCATCCCTCTGCAAATAAGGCTGAGGCTGCTGCCTGATTGGTATATCATCTCACTTTCTCTCAGCATTGATTTTCTTGCTCTCCTTATTTGCTTCATAAAAAGAGAGACGAGGAGCTGGTGCTTGTTCCCTCCCTCCCTCCCTCTCTCTCTCCCTCTCCACTGCGAGAAGCTTTTGGGAGCCTTTATTTTTAGTATGAGACAAACCTTGCTTTATTTCAGGAGACGCAAGTTGGATTATAAACCCTTTTGTAAATGTGTATGGTGATATTTGCTCCGGTAAGTTCTTCTATGATTATCTATTTATTTGTGTAGCCGTGCTGTTCTGGGGGAGAAGTGGGGTTTTAAAGGAATGGCAAAGCCCACCAAATTGTTTTACAGGTTGGGTTTCTTTGTGCTCCCATGCTGAGCCCAACTGTTCTGTGGTTTTTAGGTACATGGAAAATATTTTTGGTCTGTGTTTTGCATTGCAGAGGGGGGTGCCTGCTTTGAAAACTTGTTTTGCGCTTCATTTTACGGCAGAAATGTGGAAAGTGGGGATTAAAGGGAAAAGGGATTCCAATTTGTCGTGTTTCTTCCAGCATTTTTTTTAATCAAAGCTCCTCAAAAATAACACAGAAATGTTTGCTACAAAAAACCACTGAGAGCTATTTAATATTGATCATCCTGAAGTACGAACATCAGACTGCCTTTTTCCTTAGGAAGATTAAAGTACGGCAGGTGGGCAGCAACACGCTCCTCATTCAAAATGCACTGCTGAAATAAAGAAAATCTTTAAAGTAATTAAGGACGTGGAGTTCTTTTCGGAGTGTTACACCATTAATACAGGTCAATGTACTGTTGCTCTGACTCTGCTTTACACGGCTCTGCAGCTTCGTTCCTCTGCGCTCTCAGCTA